CTGATGTTATTGAATTAGATTTAATTAAAAATAAAGTCACAGAAATGGAAATTTGCTTTGGCTGTAGGCTTGCTGCGGTGGGGGGTATTATGGAATTGTAATTGATGTAGAAAGAAGACTTTGTGGTTGTACATGATTAACTCTAATTTATATAAGATACTAAATAAATCAATCCCGTTGGTCACAGTAGCGCCGGTCGCTTGTTATTTGAACAGCTACTGCAAACCAGATCTACTATTCATATTTTTGCTAGCAACTATACCCGTGCCTTGCAACGGGATCAGTATGCAAAAGAGACAATGTTGGTTCTTTGAAAATTCCAAATTTCACTCCTACCATTTAATTTAGAAACAAAATGTAACTGTATTACTTAACTTGATAATAGTACGTTTTTGTTAACTCATACTGTGAATACTTATTTAGGCTACCTACGGTACAAAACCAATGATAGATTTTAAGGTATAATAAAAGAATGTGTTTAATATGGTTTGTACTATAAACGAAAAGCTATCACAATAGATCCAAACCGAAAGATAGAAAAAATTACAAAAATATAAATAAATATGGGAAATAGGGTAATTTTCTAACATAGTGAAATTGTAATAAGGCAAATGGAAGTTCGCTCAGTCTAAAGATTTGCTGCGGCGCGGGGATTATATTACTGTTGACACAAAAAAAAAATAAAAATAAACCTCATAAAACTCAGGATAAGTGCCTACGCCTAGGTCGATGCGGAAATGATTATATATCGAATCTTAATTATTTCATATATACATGAATGATTTCTTTTATAACGAATTATTTACTGTAAAATATTATTACAGCATTTTGCAAATATTAGAACAGACTCAGTATAATAGATCATAAACATAAACAAATGAAGTAACTGAAAGAATCATATACTAATGAAATTACATTAACTTGGTTTGTCAGCTCCATTTAATGGTGTTAGGCTAAATAATGTTTGGGCTAGTGACATCATATTTTAAATTTATAATCCTTACCCTCTCTGTTCTAATATTCGTGCAGTATTTAATATGTTTGAACCAGCTGTTTGTGAAATCAAAATTCATTTGACAGTTATTTCTGTTTGTTTACATTTTTAAACATTGTTTGTAGGCTTGTTCTTTGTTACCATAGATACCATCAATCAATATTTACTTTGAAATCTCTCACCTCAAATTTTTGAAAGCCCACGGGGCAGAGCCCTAGGACAATATCGAAGCGGGAATAGTTCTATATGTATCCTCGGAGCTGTAGCTTCATTTGTGTGCAATTTGAGCCCAGTCGGTTCAGTAGTTTTTGAGATTATCTCATACAAACACACACACACACACACACAGACACCACCTCTTCTTTATAATAGTACTAGTGGCTTGTAGGGGCAATAGCCCCTATATACAGTGTATGTAATATATTCTAATAATTATTTTGTACAAATTATTTGTCTCATGGGTTACCGTACCCTACCTTGAATTATCGTTTAAATTTTTTGTATATTATAATAATGTATAACAGTTATCACATACCTGCATAATTAATTTTTATGTCTGCTCTGTTTAGGATAAAAATTCAAAAGGACTCTTCATGTGGTGGGTTTGTAACATAAATTTTCTAATCATAATACAGCAAAAGAACATTTTCAATAATCTTCACTATTAATTAAATATATATACATTTTTTTTTTTTATATAGACAAATTCACTTAGAAAAACACAACACATAGAGATAATGTCATCTTCCAAATTGTAAAATACTAATTCTGTAACAAAATCTCTCTGAAAACAACATTTGTTGTGTAGTATCCATTTTGGTCTATTCCTTGGTCTTTATTTGTTTCTATTTCTATTTTAACGTCATCTGGCCGCTTTACCCGGCTAAAAGCAACATAAAGTTGACCATGGGTAAACACTGTTTTTTTTCAAATAAATTCCAACTTTTGGGAAGGTTTGGCCTTGCGCTTTATATATAGTAATGGTGAAAGATAATCGCAATGGGAATTGAATCCTTTGTAAATTTAAAGGGCATATTAGGATCTGTAGATATTAGTTTTATTTTTGGCATGAAAAATATGTTCCCTTTCCCTACTCCAGTAATTACTACTAACTTTACACTTTTTTCAGACATACCCAACACAACCAATCGTACTACATTAACTAATCCAGACCCTATTTCTTATGAGCATCACTATTGAACCAACTTTTAAAACTAATTTGTGTAGTGGCATTCCAGATGGTGTAATTGAATTTATAAACTCAATTGGTATGTTCAACCTCTCTGTAGGGTCTTCTGAAACTACTTCATAATTACTGTAGTAGATTTTTAATACTTCTTCATTTAAATTATCACAATGTTCATTTAAAGGACATACAATTATTTGATTGGAGTAGTTTTGAATATTTTCTGGATTTATTGAGTTGCCATAAACAATTGCACAATCAGAGAGAACAAAGTTATCTGGAATGTCAATTGCCGGTGTTGCCCTATTGCTCTCTAAGATTCCATTACCTAATATAAGCGTAGAAGCCAATCACAAAATGCTGTTTCATTTTCATTTGCACGCATGTTTACTTTCAAATGCACTATAGTTACATACAATACATATATTACATACTACCTTTAACACTATTAATACAACTTTTGTAGCCAATAGTCAATGATATTACCATATGCTTTAAATAAATCTAAACCACATGTTTTATAGTAAACAAAGCAGACATGACTTAGATTCCCATGTTATTTAAATGTGAATTATTTGATTCCGTAACAACCGTTTGGTGCATAATTAAGAAAAATGAATATTTTTCCCCAAAATTTCATGCAGAGACCTTTAAAATGAGACCTCTCCCAGCTTTCTACGTCCTCCCGTTTGCTCACAATTTCATTGTAAAATTTTGGGCTTACGGAATTAGATATATAGATTTTCCCCAAAATTTCATGCAGAGACCTTTAAAATGAGACCTCTCCCAGCTTTCTACGTCCTCCCGTTTGCTCACAATTTCATTGTAAAATTTTGGGCTTACGGAATTAGATATATAGATATAGATATAGATAGATATAGATGGATAGATAGATAGATAGATAGATAGATAGATAGATAGATATATAGATAGATAGATAGATATTATTGTAGTTCTTTCTTAATACAAAAGTGTTTCAATGTTATAATCTCTTCTTTTAATTAACTTATTTTGTGTTAGTATATTTATATAAGGCACAAGCCTTAACGGTATCATAGGCAGCTGTTAAATCTACAAAAGCTACACCCGTGATCTGTTTTCTCTCAAACCCATCCTCAATGAGTTGGGTCAGGTAAAACTTGGCCACAACAAGACTTGTTGTTTTATTATTTATTACCTATAATTATTGTTGTTTTGTTATTTATTACCTATAATTATTGTTATTTATTATTTACAATTAGTGTTATTTAATTGTGCTTGAATAATTTGCAACACTTAAATTGTTAATTATTTATATTTTAATATATGTATTTAGCAGATACCCAAATGGCGGCATGAGAGTATTTTTAATGCATGATGCTAGACTCAAAATATGTTATAATTTATTGTATTTATTTGTTCTAACTGACCGCACTACTTGAAAAGCGGCCAGTCAATTTCCAATACTGTAAATGCATGTAATAAGTTTGTTCTCAATGGAAATATATTCATTTATTAATTTATTCATTTATTCATTTATTCACTTGCCTGATCGAAAGCCTGCCTGTTGTGGAATGATCTTTTGTTCCAGAAAATCGCCGATTCGATTGAGTATCAGACGTTCTAATATGTGTGGCATAAGAGAGGAAAAAGGTCGAAACCTCGAAACTTCTTAGGATCATTTGGACCTTTCCCAGGTTTGAGCAGCGCAGCCACACGAGCTTTCTCCCATGCCTTTGGTATATGCATTTGGCTTACGCACATGTTCATGAGCCTCAACAACCATTGCATGGCATTTTTACCTGGGTTCTTTAGTTGTTCGACTCTGATCTCGTCAATACCTGGAGCTCTATTAGTCTTTAAGCTGGTAATGACTGCAGTTAGCTGGTGAATGGTTCTTCCAGGACACTTGCCACATCACGCACAACAGGCTCCCGGTATTTCTTTCCATAGGTTTTGCCATTTAAAAGAAGGTTGGTAGCGACTTGATCGGCAGTAACTGTTGTAAAGTTGTCTTTTGGTTTTGTCGCATCTCCATTTATGTTCTTGAGGAACTTCCAGGCCCGTCTGCTGTTCACCTGCATATCTAAACTCTCCACAAGATCACACCACTTAGTTTTGCGATTTTCGGCAATGACTGAAATAAGCTCTTCACCTGCTATAAGTGTGTCCTCAGCAAAGGGATAATTGTCAAAGACACCTTGGTATCGTTCTAGCAGTGGCTTTGACTCTGACTTCAGAGAGTCCTGCGATGTAATGGGTTCGACAGCCTCTAGGTATCATTTTTCTCGAGACCTGCTGGACAAGCTTAACGAAGGAGTCATACATATCAGGATGTGGAGGGATATTGGCGATTCCTCTGTCAATGATCTCCTTAAAACCCGTCCAGTTGGCCTTTTTGAAATTAAACCTGCGCCTTAGAGGGACAACTTCAGGTTTAACAACAGCACTAACGGTGCATACTATAGGTCTGTGTTGAGTTCGGGGAATCGGATCACCTACAGACTTTTCACACTGGGAGGCAATCCTGCTGCTCACAAAGATGTTGTCAGGGTTATATTGCATATCTGCAAATAAAACTCCCACACATACTATACATTTTCCCTAAGGAAATAAATGACCTAAATTGTGTTTACCTCAGATAACCTGTAAAAATAAGTGTGACTGTACTGATTCTTTGATTTAGAAAACAAATTGGAAACATTTTCAAAAAGCATTGGATTTTTGTTTACTTATTGTAATTTGTTGATAGTATTTTATTCTTTTTTCTTACATGTTCTGTACAAATCAAGTATGAACACATAACCAGGATAATCAGAGGGGAAATGATGAATCGTACGAAATTTTATAAACAGTTTTTTCTTTTTATTTTCTAATAAAAGGTGTGATGTGGTCTTGATGTTTGGTATGCAAGATTTCTAGCTTTTGGGTTCTTTCGCCACTGAGGAAAAGATTCGTCTTCCTGCCCACTTGAACATTTTATTTAATTTGGAAGGGGGTTTAGGAGGCGGTGGGTTATACTGTCTTAGGTTATACTGTCTTAGGTTATACGGTCTTAGCATGGCCCTAATAAATTCTGAAACACAAACAAATATTTTAAATTTGCATGAGAAGTAACTAAATAAATAAATCGCCTACTTAGGAAACTGTCATAATAATCTACTAGCCTTGCGTCACATTTTACTTCAAAATCCGTGATATATTTTATATATAGTTGAAAGCGATATATTGATATAAGGGTGAAAACAATTATTTCTCATCATTTCCCTATTATTTTCATTGCGTGCGCGATCTCTTCGAGGTATCTTAGAAAAATTACAAACACTAATGTAACATACTATGATAACACAAAATCTAACGTAAGTTATTTTCTTCTTTACATTTTATAGAAATAACATTAAAACATTTTACCTAACCCGCCATGTTAAACTTTCCTATCCCAAGTGTGATGTATACAACTTCTTTACTTCTCGAGAGATGTAAAGTTGAAAAAAAACTCACTCGGTGAGGTAATGAAACCCATTTAAATAACATTGAGTGATTAACTTAAAAAATATACCTTTATGGAGCCAACGACGTCCAATGCTAGAAATCAGCTGTGCGCTTGAACTTTATTGTTATGTTTTGAAGAATTTTCCTAACCTAGCTTTTGTTTGTAAATGAACGTTACCTTACTGTTAGAAGATGAGTGAAATGGATAATTAAAAATATTGTTCGTAGCCTTCTGTATATTGTCGGGTCAGGTAAAATCTTGTACGTTACACGTTACGCAAGAGCGTGTTTACATCACTTAGGTAAATTATGCCACTCACTTTCGCTCGTTGTACAACATTCACCTGCGTGATGTAAAAACGCTTCTACTACACTTGTAAGGTAAATAGCTATTACTTTCATATAACATTTTCGTATGGATTTAATAAACAAAATTTTATCATGGCCATATGTTTAGATGTAAACAAGTGTTTTTTTAACTTTATTTAATTTACAATCATTCAAAAGTTGAACAATAAGCAATTAATGATATAAATAAAAATACAACATTAATTTAAGAACATGAGCTGGTGATTGACAAAGAGAATTTCAAACAAACAAACAAAGACAGAGTTGAACAAACAAAGAGAATTTTGATAACACTTAGCCGTATCTGAATGGGAGGTCCAATATCGTATGTCGCTTCAGTCTGTTAATGGTGTTGTGATTGTCCAATAAATTCAGTGCAAGATGATTTGAACGATTTTCCAATTTAATAATGTATTTCTCACTAGGTTTTGTTAGTTCAAATTCGTTGACAATTTTGCGTGGCAATTTTGATTGATAGCGTTGAATAATTTCAATGTTTGAGGTACTAGCTGATCCCCAAAGCTGAATCCCATACGTCCAAATCTGTTTTATTGTAAAATTATCGGATTAAAAATCCATATTGTATAGGTCTATAATGGGACGAAAACAATGTTGGTCACACGACATTTGTTTATACGATGATTTTTTACATTAAAACTGCAAGAAGATTTGCTTTAAACGTGTAAACTAGCTGTTCTGAATTATACACAGTTTTAACTTGCTACTCGATTCTCGTACGTAGGACGGGCTAACACCTCGTATTAATATCATGAAAATTGTACATATGTAGGCATATGTTTATTTTTTAACGTCTCAAACAAATTAAAAACCATGAGCAATATGCTCGGCTCTCTGGTACTTTATTTTATATGAAAAGAAATTGTTTTGTGCATTGGAATAAGAAGGTTCGGCCTTTAACGGGACGAGTAGATTAACATTTTAACTTACAACTGGCGATCTAAAAGAAAATCTGAAAAGAAGTGCAGAACATTGATGTATGCAGCTGAGCTTTCATTAAACTAGGCTATATCAGTAATAGATTTATTCCTGGAGAATTATAGATGCCTACTCAGGCTCGATACCATGTGATGAGTTATTGTTTGCCCACTAATCAATCTATGTCCTAAACGAGGTTTTGGTTACGAACAAATGGTGTTAGTGGTTACCCTTTCCATAAAACTACTTAAATTGCACTTGGAAGCTTAAAAATATGCCATGAAATAAATTCTTATAAACTAAAAACTATTGAACACTTTTACCATCTTTGTTTAACTTCCCGTCGTTGTCCGAGTCTGCCTCCTCGATCAGTGTTTGGGCCAGTCCAGGAATATAATCTTCCGGAAAATATTTCTTCAAACCAGCATCTAATGCATCTTCATCAATTAGTTTGTCTTTGTTATGACCAACAAACAAGTAAAATGCTTCAACAATTCCTTGTTCGAATGTTTTCCAAGTAGTTCCAAAAACGTGGTTCATTAGCTTCGATACGTCGATCTTCATAGGTTCGATCCCGTTTCCTGTATGTAAAATTACAACACATGTATATCGACTGAGTATTTTCCTCGGTAAAATGTTCAGGACTTGTACTTGATTTTGTAGGTGACCATTGGCTTAAAATAATTATGGAGAAGTGTTCCAATGATAGACACAATAACCACCACAGAGTCAGTTTTACTCAGTTAAAGATTGCGACAATGTCTACGTTGAAGAGAATTGTAAATACCCCCCACCACAGCAAACCTGCAGCCTAAGCGAATTTAATTGACTGAATTGATATACAATTACAGTAAATATATTTAAATAACATTAGGTCAGACAAGTAGATAGGTTTGCTGCTACAAGGAGCCTAATAAAGTGTGTTTTTAGTAAAATATTATTAGCTTAGTATAAAATAAATAAATTTTCCAAGTTTGAGTGCAGGGGAAGAATCGTAAGTTTAAAATAAAAATAGGAGCACTTCGATAATTTTCCGGTGCTCGCTCAAGTTTTAAGTGACCGAACACAGTACCAACACCAAATAATTATTGGAACAAGGAATGGAAAATCACTATTGTTTTAAGCTGTGAACGATATTTTTCATCACTACTCAAAAATATACGTACTCACATACAGAATTACGAAAAAATTGTAAAATTAAAACTAATTGTAGGCTGTAGGCTACATAACAACTTAACCTTTTTGTAAGTTCAAGTTAAAAATTTTGTTTATTGTGCACTAAGTGCTTATAACGCACTATCCTATTTGAGTCAAGTTCGTTGGGTACTTGTTATTTCGATCTCGGAAGTGGCACCTCTACACCATATAGGCATGTAACTAATTTATACTTGAAGTTCTAGACCAGTGGTACAACCTCGAAAAATCTCCTTGCACTGTAATATACGTATAACCATTGAATAGGTTGAGTTTTAAATGAGTTCCCCCCCCTACTTTTTCTACATTTCTTAAGATATCAACTCCGGACCACGTTAGATCATTGTAGAGTAGTAAGTACTGGGTAAGTATTTTGACTGGGTAAACATTTTTGGCCGTCATCTTGGATCCGCCATATTGGATACAAAGTTTTTTTTTTAAATGTAAAGGTAGGGTTGTGACCCATTATTTCAAACTAGAATTTTACACTGATTACAATGCCGCAATTAGCTTTTAAAAATCTTGATCCGTTCTAAAGTTATAAGGACTTTTTATAACTTTATTTTTAGCTTATATTAACATTGTGCATTTACAAACTAAGACCTTAATCTCAAAATAGTGCTAGATGGTGGTAAGCATATACCACCATTCATTGTCGACCTATTTTCACTTGGTTATGACGGATGTAATTTTTTCGGCCGCCATCTTGGATCCGTTGAAATGTGACAAATTAATTTAAATATGAAGGTGGTGTTGTGATCCATTATTTTGAAATACCTTTTTATGTGGAACTCAATGCCACAATCGGGTTTTCATACGCATATTTGGTTTTTGAATTATTGAAATTATAAATAAGATAATTTTAATATTTCATCAAGAAAGCTTGATAACAAAAAACGGATTGCGGCATTGAGTTCAGCATAAAAATGTAGTTGAAAATGATGGGTCACAACACCACTTTCATATTTCAATTAATTGATCACATTTCAAAATGGCGGATCCAAGATGGCGACCAAAAAAATTACATCCGTCATAACCAAGTGAAAATAGGTCGACAATGAATGGTGGTGTATACTTATCTTTATCTAGCACTATTTTGAGATTATGGTCTTAGTTTGTAAATGCACAATGTTTAAATGGGCTAAAAATAAAGTTATCAAAAGTCCTTGTAACTTTAGAACGGATCAAGATTTTTTAAAACTGATTGCGGCATTGTAATCAGCGTAAAGTTCTAGTTTTGAATAATGGGTCACAACTCTACCTTTACATTTGAAAAATGAATGAATGAATATAGTTTATTCAAAAAAACATAGGCTACAAGCTGTGATTATAACTAAATAAAGTATAATAGGCAGAGACTAAAAAAACTTCCTATCCAATATGGCGGATCCAAGATGGCAGCCGAAAATTTACACCCAGTCAAAATGAAGTACTCACTACCCTACAATGATCTGACGTGGTCCGGAGTTGATATCTTAATAAATGTAGAAAAAAGTAGGGGGGGGGGAACTCATTTAAAACTCACCCTGTATAAACACTGTTATATAGTCACAATGCTATAGCCCTTTCTAAAATATGCTATGTCTAATTAGAAAATTTATCATGGGCCGCCATGACGGTTTTGCAAGAACGTAAATAACATAAAGGTAACATTAACACATGTTTGTACAGAGCAAAAGTAAAGTTACAATAAGATTAATACCATTGTATTGTGCTATAACAAGAATAACCAATTAGGCCTTTATCGATTAGTGAAATTAATGAGAAGATAAAAGCGACGTCCACCAAAAACCCTAGACATAATTTTACAAAAGGAAAAAACTCACTTGATGTACATTTATTTTGACTCCATTGTTAATCCTGAAGATTATAAACAAATTCAGTTAAATATGCCTATATGTAATGTTTCCAATAGTCAATTGTTTCAGTGAAATCAAATCAAATCAAAATCTGTTTTATTTCCAAAATTGTTTACAATATATATATACAAAATACGAAACAATAGTCCCGCATAGGCCGTAAAAGACCTGTGCGCGGGACGAGCTCTATTACAAATTTGAAATAATCTAAAAATTAAAACTAAATTAATCAAAATACTATTTACAACTAAGCTATGAGACAGCTACAGGAACAGTTAATGCTAATAGGTAGTCGAGTGAATGGAGTTGCAGTTACTGATGTCTGTACGCTAAATATTGTTTGGTGTACTTGTGTATTAATTATTGTTAGGTATTGTATACTGAACTGATAAGTGTCTCAGTCTGATCGAGCCCAATCTCAGACAGCCAACTTACCGAACGTTTATAAACTGGAAGAGATACCTGTAGATCTCTAATCTCTGATGGTATATTCCTATACAAAAAAATCGCAATATAAAAAGCATTGGTGAGGTTTGCAGACTTGAAAACTCGGGGTACCTGCATACCTACATTTACAGCTCCTCTTGTGGAATAGTTATGCGTGATTGGCGTCACTATCAAATCTTGATTGGAGTAGGTATATACAAGTAAAGTTTTGATAAAAAGTTGACGCACCGAAAGTAATTGAGTGTTTTTGAATAATAAATTTGTAGAGAAACGCCTGTTGAATTGAAAAGCTATTTTAAGAATTAGTTTTTGTATGGCAGAGAATATGTACAGCTAGTATAATTCTTACTATAGGTACTGTTTTACTTACATAATTTTTTAGCAATATACAGTTTCTTTACTAAATTTTAATCGAAACGGACAAAATAAATTAGATTTCGTCTACGGTTTGAAGTTGGAGAAGCCACCTATGTCAAATTGTCTGTAAAGTATGTAATCTATTCCTCTAATGAACTGAACAATTTGTATGATACCTTTCAATTCAACACTAAAAATGCCACTGACTGAAATCAACGCCTGTGATCGAAATATGTATGTAAAGATAAAGTGCAGCATTCCTTAGCACAAATCACTGTGACCTTACCTTTAGTGTCAGTCTGAATAATCATTGTTTTGGCTTCATCCTCACTGACTTGTTTGTTTACATTTTCTAAACATTTATTTAGCTCATCGTATGTTGTACTTCCAGTAGCTTTCTTGTCTAAACATTCCAATGTCGTAAAAATATCTTTTTTCTGCTCTTCAGTCATTCCCTTGAATTGAAAAACAAATATATGTATTGCCGAATTCTTTTGACAATTTAGTTAATTGATAAAATTGTTCAAGTATATTAATTTGCTTATTTAGAACTGTTTCGGAGGGAAACTAACCCTACCCTATATCTACCTTAGCCTCGTAGCTACGACAGCCTTTTTAATCTCCAGCTGATGATGTTGATTCCGAGGGTTTATTTGACAGCCTTGTTTTACTACTAATCATATAACGACCACGGTAATTAGAACAGAAACTTAATGGATCACAAACATAAAATAAACGGTATTAGCAGTCTAACACATACTTTTCCCATAAGCTTGTCGACCACCAAGAATATCATGCGTAAGCGGTAGAGTGGTGCGAGTAACTATGCTATTTTATGGGTGTACTCACACAAGTTTCAATTGTTTTCATGTCCTTCAAATACCATTTAGATCAAGAATTTCCCCAAAAAATATTACAATCAAAAAGGAAAAACGGCTTTATTACTAATGAGCTTAGAGAAGAAAGACACGAGCTTATTAATAAATTTGTCAGGAGAACAAAATATCCTCATCTATCAAAATTCATAAAAGGACAAATGCATTGGTATAAAAATGAGTGGAAAAAAATGAAGAAACTCTTATTATAAATAAAAAAATATCAAACTCCACTAATATAAAAAAAACTGTATGGGAAATAATAATCTCTGAAATAGGTAATAAAAAGCCCAAAATAATGGAAAACATCTCATTGGATATTGAAGGCCCGGAAAAGCATCAACCCAAAAGAGGCCTGTAATGTGATTATTAATTTATCAAGGTTGCTCAAGAAGTTAGTAGCAATGGTCATGATAATTCGGATGTAGGAAATAATGTAAGATGCTTTAGATTTAGACACACGTTTCAAGAAGAGGTGGAAAATTTAAGTTAGTTAGTTCTTTCTCAAACAAATTATTAAGTGGGTATGACGATATTCCAATTTTAATAGCAGCAAAATTAGAACTTAGTTAAGTTTTAGCGCATCTGATAAACTCTTCTTTTGTACCTTGAATTTTTCCTAATCAGCTAAAAATCTCAAAGTCATACCCATTCATAAAAGAATTATACAAAAGATCCTTCAAATTTTCGCCCCATAGCTTTACTGCCGGTAGTCTCCAAAATGTTTGAAAATGTTATATAATACCTTTATGGAATACAGATTTGGAAAAGTACGATCTTATAGATAGAGTTCGGCTTTCGTTCCAACAAATCAGTTACTACTGCTGCTGTGGACTTTATTGAATCTATTATTGAATCAGTTGATAAAGGGTAAGTTTGTGTAGGAATTTTCATGGATTAGTCAAAAGCATTTGACACTGTTCATCAACCCTACAATCTTGCAGAAACTAAAGTCATTATATTGAACTTATGTTGTCATTATATTAGGTCTAGAAATAACCCCCGCCCGATCACGTAGTGTCCCGTTACCGTTATAGTGTTACCCTTCGTTGTAAACCCTAAATGTTCGTTTATATGTTCGTGTATGTGTGCTTGTTAAATGTATTTATTTATTATGAATTGACGACCTTCAAATGAAGCAAGAAGACATCTGTACTGGCCCGACGATGACTCCTTTGTGAGTCGAAACCGGTTGCATTTTAGCAACACGTTGATCACATAAATGCAGGTATTTACACCAATTATTTAGGAATTTAAAGTCACTTAGTGTACATATAGCTGCATTGAAGTGAGTCATACCTCTCAGGAAGATTTCAATAAGTTGAATTAAGTCATACGGAGTTTAATAAATTGACTAGAGGAAAATCAAATTTAAAATTAGTAACACATGGTGTGCCCCAGGGATCTGTGTTAGGCCCACTCCTCTTTACCTGCTATGTCAAAAATATTACCCAAACTTTTAAAAAAATACCACGAGATTTTTTACTGTTTTTGTTTTTGTTTAAGTTGGCAACACTTAAATATATTACGACTACGATCACGTTTCCCATTTCGTTCAATGTTTGGATTTAACCTAACCTAAGAACGTGTTGTACAGTGTTTGAAAGCCTTATTATTTATATGCTTTATAGTATCTGTAGGAAAAATGTAATGAGTAACGCGAGCTAAACTACCTTTGCTAAACTCGAGAAACTTTCCATACTAGCCTGTGGCTTGTGCGCAAGCATTTCTCTCGTGTGCACCTCAGTGCCACTTCGCCCACTAGTTACACAAATAACTATAGTATAATAATAGGTAAAACTATAATTAGAAAAAAAAAACTCCCGATAAAAATAAAAGCACCGGTAGTTGTGAAGTAAATCATCGTTTTTCAGTGCATGTATGATAAATAAATGTATGATGTACATGCAAAGTACACATAAATAATAAAAGTGCTTGTGTGTGCCAGGAGTGCTTCAACGTCTAACCTCTCTAACGCAGAAGAAAGTTGCTTCGCCTGTTTACAGGTTTGCGAGAAAAAATATTTAATCTAATTAATGAAAATATCTTTAGCTTAGTCTGTTGTATACCTTAGCATCACTCGTTTCCAAGTCCAGTATAACCTAAAATCCCAGAAGACAGGTTAAAATTACCATGATAGTAGCATAGACACGAAAACATAAATACTTTGCTGTCTAACACACATAACAAGTTATCACTTAAAATTATACATACAGGGAGGTAGAAAAAAAGGAAACCCAAAAATAAATGATAAAATAATATTTCTCAAAAAACCAAACACGATTTTGAATCTGTGCTGTGGCATGACTATCGTAGTCGTAGCCTTCGTGAAAACTGTTCAGTGTGAAGTACTTTGTTCATCAAGTAAAAATTGAATTTTTTATTTTGAAAGAAATAATATTTAAATAACTAATTAATAACAAACAAAATTTCACTTGGGTGACCAGAAAGACAGAATTGTAGCACAGATAGAACTAGCAAACATAATCAAAGTCTGTACAGTAAAAGAATAGACTAGAACAAATTAAAAAACTGGAAGTAATTAAGTGGAATTACTAGTTTTATGATATTTAAGAAACACTTTTAAATGGCCGTCATTTTCAATTGGTAGGCCTACACATCACAAATTCGAACTTTAGTGTACACATGTGTATAACAAATTAACTTACAAATCATAATACTTTAAATCAAATCATTATTTAACTGCATAAGAACTTATGTATTACATTTACACTCAGTCACTTAAGAGGTTAAAAATCTATGAATACATTTTTTTAAATCACGTACCAACAGACATACCAAACTACAGGCATCACACAACACAGACAATCAGGCATTTTAGACCCTTATAAGGGGTTTCTCTTGTTTTCACCCAGGGAACTAATACACAAAATCTTCCATGGAGTTTGTATAAACCCTGTATATGTTTATATGCATTTATAAACATTATAACGAATAGTGTTTCTAGACTCTGGTAAAAATGGAAAAATTAACTTATCAACTTTACTGTCAGTGATGTTTGCTACTAAAACTGGGCAAATACTTGGTGTGAATACCAAACCATCGTAATATTGAATGAATTAATCGTATAGTACTTACAATAAAGAAAATCGTGGTTATAACTTTCATGATGAGTTGGCAGCGATGTGAGCCTAGAAGCAGCTTGCTGGTACATATGGCAACAATTATTCTCGATGGCGCACACGGGTAAATTATTTTTGGTATACAAATTGATGGATGAGGATTGATTGACAGTTCAAATGTCAAACGTTTGATAGTTGAAAATTTTGTTGGTAGTTTTATCTTTATAGTTATAGTTAATTTATAGTTAGTTAGTTTATAGTTATAGTTTTACAGTTTTATAGTTTCTTAAATAACTCCCATGTGTCTTTCCAAGTAAACGATAGTACTTAAATTTTAAAATATCTATATTTACAAGCCTTTAGGCTAAAGAAAAAAAATAGTCGACAAATACTTTGGAACAAAAACGCCAATTACAAATACAAAGCAGTTGTCTGCTTGCAGTATTGAGCGGAGCTAGCATATTGATCCAATACTTTTCCAAGGTCAATGCTACATCTAGTTAACGTAAATAGGGTGTCTCATTACAGTATCCAAAGTCAATTGTACATCAACTGGATGTTCAGGCTACTTTCAGTATCCAAAGTTAATGCTTTATCTGTTTATCGTAAATGAGATCTCTACTTGCAGTATCCAAAGTCAATTGTACGTCAGCTGGATGTTCAGGCTACTTTCAGTATTTAAAGTCAATGCTTTATCTATTTATCGTAAATGAGATCTCTACTTGCAGTATTTAAAGTCAATGGGACATCTGGTTCGCATAAATGAGAAATCTACTTACAGTTTCCAAAGTCAATGCTATATTTGGTTCACATTAATGGAATGCCTATTTGCAGTATCCAAAGTCAATGGTATGTTTCCACATACAGTAAATGGAGTAGCTATTTGCATCTGGAGTCAGTGGTGCGTTAGCCTAATTCCGGCAACCCTAATTAAATTATTTATTTTGTAGTAAATTAACTCAACTATATTAATCCGAATCCGATTGTTTTGCCTTTTTTCTTTATTTGTAACTAGCCGCTATACCCGTGCCTTGCAACGGGGTCAAGATGCAGAAGATACAATTTTGGTTCATTGAAAATAATGGCAAGCAGCTTGAGAAGGCCAAATAGAACAAATTATTATGTCCCCCTAGATCTACTGTATGTAGAGAGTCTTTTGTTAGTTTACTATTAGTGACTGTCCACATAAACAAAACTGTAAAAAATCCATCCATTCCATGTATCACAGCTTTTTTTCTGCTTGATACAAATTAGCTCTTGTCATAAATTTAAACAATTAAAAGTGCTGCACCCTGTTGGTAAACCTATTAATTTTTTATTGCTATTGAACATCACATAATCAAATTGTTTAGTTGAAACAGCTGTTAAAATTCCTTAATTCCATTTAAATATTAAGTACTCATAAGGTTAACATGGGGAAACTCCAGAGCCACTGGTCCATTTGGACGGATCACAAAATTGATGGTGTAACCGATTCCATGAAATTCTACATTTATGTACCAAGTTTCGTGGCCATCGGTCCAGCGGTGTCTGAGATTATCACTGCCAAATATACAAACATACTAACAAACCAACAATCTCTTATTTTATGGTGCTACTTATGATCATTATTTTGTTGACTAACATATGTTACTACTCTTTTGTTTACCTGTGTATAGTTATCTTGCAAATAATGTCATGGGAACCAATAAATAAACCCATTAGGCCCATGTTACATTTCTAAACATTTAAGTTCACGTAGAGAAAAGCCCTTTAGTCTGATTTGTACCATTTCAGATTTATACCTTTCCATGGTTGGTTACTATGACTGTGCTAAATTTCATGCGGATAACATTACGTTCGAGAGGAGTATTTGTAAAACAAAAGCAGGAGTATAGTATAAGTGCTCCGCTCGCTTCGCTCAATAAATAGTTAGATACCTAATTTTTCGCGTTGTAGTCGTCAAAATCCAAAAGGCATACCGTACTGGAAGATAAAGGAAGTATTATGAGGTATTTGGATGTAGAACACTTGCTTGAAAACAATGATTTTCATAATTAATTATGTTAAATGTACAAAATTTAAGAAATAAAACTCATAAGATATGGTGACAACTATTTGTGCAATTCCCTCAAAGCAAGCAAGACTTTAAAAAGTTACATCTGCTAATCGTATGGATCCATGCAGGATTATTTCTGCATGAACTGCAAAAGGATTGAGAAAATGTCGATTGGTTCAAGGTCAGGTTCAACCAGAACTGTGGGTTTACCAGATGACATTAGCGAGCAAACACAGCAAAAAATACCGATACAAATGATATATATGTAATGTCCACATCTTTACTAATGAAACTTGTTATAGATGTTCATAGTTCTGAGCGAAACTGATAAGTTACATTATGAAATAGTTATATTTTGTATCACCGGTATATCTATAAACATTTTATTTACTTATTGATTTATTGAAAACCATAAAACTTGAACGCTCTGCTCAACTAGCTTTCACTGCTATGACAGCAATCCTAGTATAATTTTAATATTTAAATTAATATAATAGTACTTACAATAAAGAAACTCAGAGTTATAAGTTTCATGGCGAGGTTGCAATGATATGAGTAACCCAGCGTTCTAGTACATATTTCAACGATTAGTATCGATGGTGCACACGAGTAAATTACATTTAATTACAACATCTAGATAGTTTGAAAACATGTTTTCGCCATACTGCAGTACAAACAACCGCTTTTGCATGCGTTGCGGGTCTTAAGTATAATTTTTATTTACTCTCTATGGAGTAAAAATCATATTTAGCCCCCAGGGAGTAAAATCAGCTGTTGTAAATAGTTGCAAAGTTGTAAATTTCGATTGTGGCTATCGTATCGATTGATATTATTTATCAATTGATTTATTAGGCAAGGTTTTAGCCTATTGTTGTCGATCGCTCGACATATCGATGGTATAATGTGCTGTAACACAATCGTATCAAACGAAATGATTGAATCACTTACTAAACAGATGCTTATTTGCATTAGCAGAATTGAAGGAAATCGTTTTGCGAGGTTATCTTTACGTATAAACATTATTTCGTTTTCTAGCTCTTAGTTTGTTAATTAATGATGCAATACAGACAAAAAATATAGTTCACCACACGGGCAGAAAGTGTCTTTTTAACCCTCGCTCATTTTCTGACCTCGGCTTCGCCTCGATCTTAAAACTTAACCTTGGGTCAAAATGAGCCACTTTAGCCCCCGGTGATGAAATATACTATGAATGGTAATTTTTATTTTAATAAAACACTGTCTCTTGAACAAGTAAACAATATTTCTTTAATTTAAAGTATATTTATTTACAAACCTATAGGCTAGGCTATATAAACAAAAGTATAAAAAAATATTTGGAACAGACACAGTTAAATACAAGTGAATGAATCTTCAACTATACCTACTATCTACATACCTAATTGCTTGCGTTGTTAATAAGGCATATCTAGATTAATAAATATGATAAAACGTAAAAAAAGATTTATTAAGAACAGCTTTATCAAGTATTCCTCTCAATATTATACTCAATACGTTTCGTTATATTCCAGCTCTGTTAAATAATTCATTTTTGGAAACAAGGGTGGGCATCCAACCACTATGGACAGGTTGTTGTTAAGTTTACATTAAATGAATTTTATATTTTTAATTTACTTTTACTCATAGTTGAATGAGAGTTGATTGATGTTTTACAGACTTAACTAAAAAAAAACAGCTTTTTAGCGAATTTCCCATATAGGGAATAAGCTATTACCGTAGTACTCATGGTAAGACCTGGACGCGGGACCGATTTTTTTATTCGTTTTGAGGTCCCTAGAGGCCAAAAACACCATCCGTTCAAATTTATATATATATGTGTCCGTCAGCACGATAACTCGAGCAAAAATGATCCGATTTGGATGAAATTTGGTACAAACGTGTAAACGTACGTTTATTCGAACGAGTTCGCGATCCAGCATGATCGGACCATGGGAACGGGGGTTTACGGGGGGTTTTATGGGGTAAAAATAGGTTTTTCCTATTTTTGACCCAAAAAACATAAAATTTAGCAATTTCTTTCCAAACCATTTTGTAGAGCTTAAAAAAAAAAATAATTTAGTATATTGAAGCGTTATTATGCGCCTAATAGTTACGGAGAAAATTCCAAAAAATTGTAAATTTAAAATTCCCATGTTATTCTTAAGGAGAATAAGTAAACTGTTGTAGTTTGCTTGTTTGTGAACATATTTTGATCAAATTTGGAAAATGTTTTTATTTCTCACTACCTATTCACATTTTACAAAAAAAAAAAAGTTTTGCCCTCCCTGATGCAGCAAACCTAAGTACTTGTTAAACGAATTCTATTTAAATCAAGAATAAATGTTATATTTTTAAGTAGACATTTCAGTGTAAATCCAATCAGTCAAATGGAAATTCGCTTAGTCTGCAGGTTTGCTGCGGCGGGGGTATTTATTGATGTTATATTAATCCAGTGGTTTACGCAAAAGATAAAAACCAAAACTGGTGTATTTACAGAAATCAGAAATTTATGTTAGGAAACTGTTTTGGGGGCTTTATTAAAAACAGTAAATTTGTATTATATAACTGACTCCGACTTTGAAATGCAAATAGGATATTTAGTATCCTCCATAGTTGGCTAATTAAATTACATCTGAAATCCTAATTAAAATATAGTACTCATTTAATGAGTTAATCCTCCCAATCTCTGGCTTTTGCTAAGTGAATGAATATCAATAATCCATTAAAATTGTAATCCGTAATACAAGTTGCATACTGATTTTCACTATCTATAACCATCTATAACTCTACATTTAACAAAACTCGGTTGAAGTTCAAAATATCTGAATGACGATTTATAAATAAATCGCAAGTGAAATGCGAATGATGAAATCGTCTACAGGGGTTTCATTTTAACTAGAGGTCGTCCAGTGGTCGAAAACTCGACCAAAAATATGTAATGTACATACTTCTCTATTTTCACCCTTTGGAATTACTTCCATTTGTTTTGATTTTCTGTTTATATTGAGTTGTTTTTTCGTCACCAGCATGGCAACCCATAAGACCCATGAAATAAGAATAAGAATAAGAATAAGAATCGTTTATTGCCATAATAATACAGAAATATACAGGGCAAAAGTCACTAAAACCAAACAAATAAAATCAGACCCATAAAAATAAAGATACAAACTTCAAGAGATACATACTATTTACATTTTAAAAACGAAGAAACACTGTAAAATTCCTTATCCACTAAATCAATAGATAACATTGAACTTAACATTGACCTCTGTTTGTTTCAAATTTAAAATTCATTTTTTGTGCTTAATTTTGAGCCTATTTTAGTTTATAAAGGGATAAAGACATGTTGAGGAGGTGTAGGTGGAAGTGTAGCTGGAGGTATAGGTATAGGTGTAGGTGGAGGTTTACCGCACTGCTATTCCCGCACCACTCCAGTCCACGTTCAGTCTGTCTCCACCTGCGTGACGTTCTAACTGGACATTGTTAGTTTTTCTGTAAACAATGTTTCCGACAGTAGTGATGACAGTGATGAGATGCCGCCAGCAAGTAAGTGGTGGTTTACGAGTACCTTAACTAATCGAGGGTTTAGTGCTCCAATAATCAAGTAAGTAGCCTACGGCAGAGACTGGGTGAATATCATCACTTGTTTCATGAACTTAAATCGACCCAGAAAAATTTCATCAGTACTTGAGAAGGGAGCGTTTCATAAACTCCAAATTTCACAAACTCCAACGCTTAAAATATTAAATAAACAGAGCGGTTCATAACCTCCAAATTTCATAAGCTCCAAATCTATAACATTCAAATAATCACTGTTTCACAATGTCCAAGTTTCACAAACTCCAAGGTTTAAATATTAGCGGTTCATAATGTCCAAATTTCATAACCTCCAACGGTACAGTCTGGGCCAGAAGTCTCTCTAGTGGTTGCCACAGTCAGATAGCAGGCACCGTTCGCCAGCGCTCAACTGATTATCTATATATCTAATTCCGTAAGCCCAAAATTTTACAATGAAATTGTGAGCGAACGGGAGGCCGTAGAAAGCTGGGAGAGGTCTCATTTTAAAGGTCTCTGCATGAAATTTTGGGGAAAATTATTCATTTTTCTTAATTTTTTACCAAAAGGTCGTTAGGTAGTAAAATAATTCACCTTTAAATAGCATGGGAATTTAGGTCATGTCTGCTTTGTTTACTTAATAACATGTGGTTTAACTTTATTTAAAACATATGGTAATGTATAGGCTACTATTAAAAAGCTGAAATAGACTTTTTCCCAATTTTAAGGGTCTGGATTAGTTAATGAAGTACGATTGGTTGTGTTCGGTATGTCTGAAAAAATGTAATGTTAAAAGTAATTACTGGAGTAGGCAAAGGGAACATATTTTTTATGCCAAAAATAAAACTAATATATACAGATCCTAATATTACGTTTAAGTTTACAAGGATTCAATATCCATCAAAATTAGCTTTCGCTATTACTTATTATTAAAGAGCCAGGTCAAACCTTCACAAAAGTTGGCATTTATTTGAAAAAAGGGAAAAACTGTGTTTACCCATGATCAACTTTATGTTGCTTTTAGCCAGGTAAAACGGCCAGATGACGTTAAAATAGTACTATAACAAAAATGAGTTGAGTTGTTCCTCACAATCTAGGTCCTCTTAAAGCACTTGCATGCATTTTGGCGCATTTCACTTCGCAGAGGAGGCCACAAAAGGACATTTCAACGCATGTTGCCACAATGGACATGCCACAACCACAGGTAAATGACGAACTAACTGTTTTTACATGATTCTAACTTCATAAAAAACATAAGGCAATACAACAGTGCAATGGCTATTGTGTTGCTTTCCGCTACACAAAAAGAGATTCCGGGAAATGGGCCTTACTGTCTTAAAATTCAGGGACAAATTCATAGATATATTTCTGACTTTCCACCGCCAAATGGGGAGTTGCCATCATAATAATTAATAATAATTTTAACCTTTACATTTGGTTCTCAAAATGGAAACTATAACAGAATTCGTAAGATTACAAAACAAATCTTCAATTTTAAATTAGAAAAGATGTGCAATGTTTGGCTGTATGATTTCAGCTCTGATTCGTCGCTCTCCGGGCTCAGGCCAACCGTGTGCACGTTTCCATTTGTAATATGTTGTGTTATTGATTTCATAATAATTATTTTACAATTGTAGACTATTTCATTGACACATTAGAAGCAACTAATATACAACTCCAACGGAAGGAAAACCAAGATATAAAACAAGAATCACTGTTAATTTTAAGTAACATAAAATTGATAATTTTAGAAACATATTTAAAATATTTGTCTTTTTATATATGATTTTTTTATCGTAGTCTAAATTAGGGGCTATGGCCCCTACAGGCCACTAGTACTGATTATACGTACATTTTAATGATTGAAGAACACTCAGATGTGTGACTCAAATATGTGTTAGCACACAATGTGCAAATCAAATTTACATTTTAGCGAATTTCCCCTATAGGGAATAAGCTATTACCGTAGTGCTCATGGTAAGACCTGGTCCCGGGACCGATTTACTTTTTCGTTTTGAGGTCCCTAGAGACCAAAAACACCATCAGTTATATATATTAGTTATATATTTATATGTGTGTCCGTTAGCGCGATAACTCGAGCAAAAATCATCCGATTTTGATGAAATTTGGTACAAACGTGTAAACCTACGTTTATTCGAACGAGTTCGCGAACCAGCATGATCGGACTATGGGAACTCTTAAGAATATATACTTATACTCTTAAGAAAGCAATTATGGAGCAACAATGATACTTCGTGTTACACCGCTACAACAGTAGAACGTGTAGCGCCTACATACCGAACCACGGCAACCTCTGCAGCGACTTCTGGCAGAGACTGTACCGTTGGAGCTTATGAAACTTGGAGGTTATGAACCGCTCTGTTTATTTGATATTTAAACGTTGGAGTTTGTGAAATTTGGACATTGTGAATCGGTGATTATTTTAAAGTTATAGTTTTGGAGTTTATGAAATTTAGAGGTTATGAAACGCACTGTTTATTTAATATTTTAGACGTTGGAGTTTGTGAAATTTGGACATTATGAACCTCACCCCTTGAGAATGACGCCTGAAACGTTTGCATACATATATCAAAATATTTCACCAAAAAGGTGAAGGTTACATGACCTTGAACGGACCAATCATGAAGAAGCAGTGAGCTAAGCGGTGAGGTAAAAACAAACTAGTTTGTGAGAACTAAGCATTCGAGAACTAAGTTTTCGAAAGGTTACAAGGTTACTAAGTTTTTCGAGACCTCCTTGTAAGCGGCGACCTACACTTCCTCATCGACCTGCTCACTATGCGAGCACCCGACTTACCTTGCCTTTACGGCGAGCTACAGCTACACCTACACCTCCTCAACATCTCCAAGAGTGGGGAGGGATTCAGCATCGTCTATTAATATATAAAATTAGCTCCATGTTAAATCTCTATAAGAAAAGTTGAATTTCCATTTTTGACCCAATTAACATGAATATTCTCAAAATACAAATAAAACCTGCACATAGAGGATCGATAACCGTTCTTTTGGTACAACCCGCGTGTAATTCGGTCCAGTAGTATGGTCAGACTAGCTGCCCTAAGCTTTGCAATAGTTTTTTTTTTTTTATTTATAGGGTGATCAACTCAAGGAGGCCACCATTGGGATATCGGAAACGATAAGAATTAGAGAAAACTTTAAATGGGGGACATTCCTTTATTTTTGTGGAAGTTAAAAATATGATTTTAGTTTTTAAAAATTCGGTCACTATTTTTCAACTTTGAAATTTCTTACGAAACACCCTATATTTGATCATGTTTTCGGATAGAACATGCGATTTAAAAACGTTTTTATTCTAGACATTTTTTCGATAAACCGTTTAGGAGTTTCAGCCTATGGAAAAATGACTTCCGGTGTACATTTTACATCATGTAGCTCCTAAACGAGTAGGTTTAGCGAAAATGCAAAGAGTAAATAAGTCTTAAAATTGCATCCACATCCAAAAAAGACCATAAAATTCGTTAAAAACATTTTCTATTATTTAAAAAATGACGGCTATTTTAAAAAATGGCGGCAAACTTGAAAAGTGGAAAACTGTGTATTTTATGGTATTTTTGGAATGTAAATGCAATTCTAAGACTTATTTACTCTTCGCAATGTAAAAGATTACATAAAAAAAATTATCCTGTCTACAAATATGATAATATATTTTGAAAAGCCTTATTGTTTAGAAAAAAGTAAAAGTACTCAAGATAAAACCTTATTTTGTTCAAGTTTTTGCATATTTAAGAAAATAAATGATTTTCTATATGAATGTCATATCATAATAATTGCGAAGTATTAATAAATTAGACAGATAACATATTCCTGTAAAGAAATGATAAGCACCACCGTGCAACCTACGGTAATAACTACTTCCAAATTTGCTAAATGGATGAACATATCCAGGGAAATCAAGAATAAATCAACACTTATGATACATTCAATAACTTTTTATGAATAATGTTAAGCTTTGAAGCGGAAAATGCCTCGTACCCACTTGCCAATTCTTGTAAATGTATGTCTTCTGTAGGGCTCAGGCTCAGGATTACGCCTATGATTGTGTAGAAGGATCAGAAAGAATTCTGTAACACAAACACTGATGTTAAATGCTGATTGGGAAATATTTACTTACATTGTCATAATCATCGATAACAGAGGCCAGGGGAAAAACCTCTCCTCTGTCAGAGGAAAAAATGAAGGGTAATTTCTCCACCCTAAGTGTTTAATCTGGTTGGTTTAATCAGATTTTTACAACCCTTTTCTGTGAATATAGTCTTTCGTTCCACCCTTATAGTAGTAATGAAAGATAATCATGTTAGAGCAGTTTTAGTTTTCATTTGAACCTGACTTTCAAATTAAATGGTGGAGCGTGATTATACAGTTAACTGTATAAATAATATTTTCCCAAACTATACTAAACTATGTAAAGAAGTAGGTTCAGGGCTCTTTATAGGAGAAAAATGTTGGTTTAGCGAATTTCCCATACAGGGAATAAGCTTTTACCGTAGGTTTCTTTGTAAGACCTAGACAAGGGACCGATTTTTCTTTTTCGTTTTGAGGTCCCCAGAGGCCAAAAACACAATCCGTTCAAATTCATATATGTATATGACTGTTAGTGCGATAACTAGTCGAGCAACAATGATCAGATTTTGATGAAATTTGGTACAAACTTTTAAACCTACGTTTATTCGAAAGAGTTCGCGAACCAGCATAATTAGACTATGGGGACGGGGGTTTATTGGGGGTTTTATGTGGTAAAAATAGATTTTACCTACGACCGTTTTTTAAAGTAGCCATTTCAGTCCAGTTCTTAGAATTGAAAAGTTTCACTTTACAGCTGTTTACTTTCATATCCGCATAGTTTCATTTCATATCCGCATAGTTTTCTCTTATCCACACAGGTAACGGACCAATGAGGTTCAAGTATTGAGAGAAAAGAATTAAAATTGTAATGCTTCGAACGTCAACTAATCAGCTGATCAGCTGATCAGTTGACCAATTTAATTGTTGATCCGACTTGTTCATGTTGATACTCGCGTATTCTTAATTAAGTTGGTGGAAGTCCAAAAATAAATTAAATATTTGCCGAATTGTACCTGATACAATATTATTTATGGTAAGAATGCTGCTAGCAATGTAATATTTTACGAAGTTTAACAAACACGTAATTACAGGAAATCAGCTGATTATACAACAAGTCGTTGCATCACTTTCAGTGGCAATGACAATACACGAAAACCTAACCTCTCTAAAAAGTTATCATTAGTGATTGTTAGTAATTAAATCCAAATTGATAGTAATTAAAAAACGGTCGTAGGTAAAGTAGTGTACGCAACTCGCGTTAATAGTCTTTACGACACTCGTAGAAGTTTTTAAGGCACTCGCCAAGGCTCGTGCCTTAAATTTTCTACTCGTGTCGTAAAGACTCACTTAACGCAATCGTTGCGTAAACTACTATTTCCCATTTTTGACCCTGAGATAAAAAATGAAATAATTTTGTATATCGCAGCGTTGTTGTATGCGCAACGGTTATGGAAATGGTAAAAAAATGTAAATTTAAAATTCCCATATTATTCTTATAAAGAATAAATAAACTGTAGTAGTTTGCTTGTTTATAGATATATATTTTAATAAAATTTGACAATTTTGTTTATTTCATACTAAGCTATAAAAATTTCAATAAAAAACAAAAAAAAAACACACACATACCTAAATATCTTTCCTGTGGCAGCAAACCTAAGTACTCACTAAAATTAATGTTATTATACATAAATAAATAATAAGGAAATAAATCTGACAATTTTAGGGAATATTTTAGTAGAAATCCAGCCGGGTAAATGGAAATCCGCCTAGTCTAAATAATCTATTGAGTTAGTCTACAGTTAGTCATCCCTTGAGTTAATCTATTTCTAGAACATATTTTCGAAAATCCAGTGGTGCTTTCTAACTTTCTTTGTAACGGTTAAAATGTGAATTGCAATTTAAAAGCTGATTTTTTAGTTCAACCATCCAGATTGCAAACAAGATGCAAAACAGTTTATGGAAATAGATTTTCAAATAGCTAAAATCTTTTATGATTTTGACCTAATTGAGAAAGGTGAATAACGTGGTTTGGATCTATAAAATCAACCCATTTAAATTCCAATTATCAGATTTATTGTAAATTTGTAGTTTTATTTACCTAATAACTGTTTTAAACAAACATAATCTTTGAAAGGTAAAAAAGTATTGCATTGGATTTATTTTCCCTAATTTAAAGAAGTTTTGAGCCATATAAAAATGCACAGTCTGTACACGGACCACCTTGTATAATATAATTTCAATAATGCATGTTAAGGGTAACAGCAACAAACGTGGTTATCAACTCAAGTATATCACCAATATGATCTCTTTGCATTATCTATCTATATATTAATAGGCAAGCATGTTTCTTTAAAACCTTTTTTCTCAGCTCGTGTGCATCGTAGGTAAAATCTACGCATACCGTTAGAAAGCTATTTTCCTGTAGGTGTGCAGAATCCCTTTATAAATTTAAATAGGCTCAAAGATAAGCACGAAAAATGAATTTAAAAATTTGAAAAAATTAACATAGATCTTATGCGTTGCCATGGCGACGAAATAACAACGAAATATAAACAGAAAATCAAAACAAATGGAAGAAACTCCAATCACATGTCTTATTTACAGTGTGGGGTGAAAATAGATAAGTGAGTACAGTACATTAGATATTTTTGGTCGAGTTTCGACCACTGGACGACCTCTCGTTGTCATTAATAGAAAGAGCATTTTTGAAGAAAAACATTGCAAAACCAAGCATTGATGTATGCATCTGAGTTTTCATTCAAATTGTTGATATCAATAATCCTTATTCCTGGAGAATATAAGTTGAATCCATCTTTGCAGACTCAGTCGGTCCCCTGTGGTGACAAAAGAAGGTGCACTGTGATGAGTTCTTGTTGGTCCACTACTCAAGTTATATCATACACAAGATTGTGGTTACGAAAAAAATGAGTAGTTTACACTTTCCATAAAACTATATAAAACCTTAGAAACTGAAAGCTATCGAACACTTTTACCTCTTCGGCTTATCTTCCCGTCCCCGTCCTTGTCTGCATCCTCGAGCATTCTTTGGATTTCATCATCGGTCAAATTTTTATTTATTCTATGCACAAATTGTTTTAATTCTCCATGATCAATCATCTCGTCACCGTTTTTATCGGCAAGTGGAAACGCTTCATCAACATTTTCTTTGACTTGTTCCCAAGTAGGTCCATAAAACTGTTTCATCAACTCAGATACACTGAGCTCCCCGTTCCCTGTGTTCAAAATTACTGTTAATTTATTTATCAATTTGAGTTGCTCGGTAAAATACTATACTGAGTTGCAGGCCAGAGTGAGGCAGAACCAGTGGTGAACCAGTCACCCGGACAGGAAATTGACAGAGGTTGAAGCCAACAAAATCAAGGGGGAGCTGTCCAGACGGGCCATTCGTGGCAAAGACGTCAGGATAAGCAGCTGCCATCTTGAAGGCGGATGCCTAGTATTCGGCTGTACTAACGCAACCACAAAGGACTGGCTGGTCAAACAGGTTCAGGAGCTGAGCCCCTTTGAGGGCAGCTCGCTGAAGCTTGCCCCAGCCAAAGACCTTGTGAAAGCTGTGAAGGTATCAGTGTTTGTTCCCACCACAACGGGGGCAACAACCAAGAAGGACGTGATGCAGGGCAATAAGCTGCACCTTGACACACCAACACACCCCTTGTACATTAAATGACCTTGACACAGACCACTGGGCGGTCGTTGGGGGAAACTCAAACCCTAGCGGACAATTCCTGGTCATAATAATTGACGAAAACTCCCTGCAGAAGCTGAAGTCTCTTGCGATACGCCCATTCCTGGGCTGCGAGAGGGTAACCTTCAGGTTGCATGGGAGCAAGGATCCCCACAAGTAGAGGATGGTTGCGGTGCTCCAGATAAATCTCCAACACAGCAAGGCGGCTACGGCTACGCTTTGCCAGAAAATTCTTGCCGACCGCATAGGCGTGGCTCTGATCCAGGAGCCATGGACCGCAGGAGGCAGAATCATGGGGATGGGCACCGCAAAAGGTGAGTTGATATACTAGGGTGGTCTACCGTTACACTTTAGACGCATAAATGAGCGAAGCATTATTTAAAGATAGTCAATGGCTTAAAGCAGCTAACACCCTACAATATGTTCCCTTTCAACAGATTCACCGTTTGTTTGCCCGATATTATTTAAATTCTAAAGAATGACAAATTTATCTGATAGTTCATACTGTACCTTTGTAGTGAAACTGGCCATCCTGACCATTTGCTTGTACTTTGTAAATGGGCATAGCAGGATGTACTCGTGCAATCAACATTTGTTCTACAATCGTCAGGGACGTCAGGTCAGTTAATTCGTTCGGGACACTTGACACATCCATATTATTTAACGCCGTGAATTTAGTTGCATTTGAACGACAACGCGAACAAATCGGTGATTGGTTTGAAGCTGTTAGTTGTTGGCGATGACAGTTAGTGCAAGTGTAAAATTTGTGTGAATCTAATTTATGTTGGAATTGATTAGCTAACTGCCTATCATTTAAAGCTTCTTCCGCCACTGCTTCATCTGGTTCTTCTTGTTCACGACGCCACTCTCTTACAATATTTGCATTATTGGTGCGACGGCCAATATTACGACGTGGCCTTTGAGGCATGCTCAAAACAAATATAGCAAAACTACTTGTTCCATTGATAAACTGTTACTTTCCAACTTTAGCTATGATGAAAGTAAACATTGAAATGTAAACAAAACAGTTACAAACAATTAACATATGTTTATCTTATTAAAATGAAACGAGATAAACCCATCTTGTTTGTGAGTTTGTGTATGTTTGTGTGTATGTGTGTGTGTGTGTGTGTGTTGCTCAATCACGCATACACTACTGGACGGATTGGGCTGAACTTTGGCATGATGATAGCTCACATTCCCGATTAACATTAAAGCATATTCTTATCTCAAAAACCCTTTCGGGCTCCGCCCCAGTGGCTCTGTAGTTCCCCATGTTAATCTTATGATTTTTCATATTTAAAAGGAATTAATGAATCTTAACAGCTGTTTCAATTAAACAAGTTGGTTCTGTTCTATGATGTTCAATAGCATATAAGTTAAAAGGATTACCAACAGGGTGCAGCACTATTATTTGTTTTTTTTTTATTTATGACAACAGCTAATTTCCAACCAAAAGGTGAGTGAGCGTAGCGAACGAACTTCAACCTGGAGGCGAGTTAGCGTAGCGAACGAGCTAATCTGAAGGCAAGTGAGCGCAGCGAACGAGCTCCAACCTAAAGGTGAGTGAGCGTAGCGAACGAACTTCAACCAGGACGTGAATGAGCCATGCGAATACTTATGAAGTTAAACGGGGCGAAGCCCGCGGGTACAGCTAGTATGTCATAAACCCAATATAATTTTTCTTTCAACTTACATTAAAATAGCCTAACAAGCAAAATTGCGTGACCCGTAAAATAAAATCCAGAAGGAAATTTGCAAATATCTTTTTACCAAAACATTGTGCTCAGTATTCTTTAGCTGTTGGCCAAATTTCATATCAATTGGTCAAGCCATTACATTCTGATGCTCTTACAAAGAAGTTACAAAGTGAGGGAAAGTGAGCTTCGCTCAATGATACTGACAGTGACAAACCTAGAGCTTGCATTTTTGTCAGTAGAAATATTAAGACACTGAGAGTCACTAATCTCTGTTCTAGGGATTGTGCCGTGACCGAGGTATACGGGCAGATGGGTGACGGTAACGTCAGAATCCTGCTTGCCTCAGTATACCTGCCATATGACTCACAGGAACCACCACCGACCAGAGAAATGAGGATGGTTGTCGAATATGGAGCCAGGGAAAAACACCTGCTGTTGGGCTGCAATGCCAATGCCCATCATGTGGCCTGGGGCAGCAGCAACGTCAATGAGAGAGGTGAGAGCTTGTTAAGTTTTGTAGCTGAATCTAACTTAGTTATACTTTATAAGGGATCCAAACCAACCTTTAGACAGAGGAGAGGGGTGGTACTAAGGGAAGAGGTTTTGGACATAACCTTGGCCAGTAATTATGCGGCGACAAAGGTTGTAAAATGGGGGGTATCTGATGATCACTCAGCGTCAGATCACAGCTACATTGAATTCACTATAGGTTCGATCTGTACAAAAGAGACCTATAGGAACGTGAGAAGGACAGACTGGAACCAGTATCGTGAGGTGCTAGGGGACAGACTAAGACAATTAAAAGACACAGAAGGGCATGGGGTGGAGAGTATGGCGAATTCTCTAAATGCGGCCATACTAAGCTCATACCAAGAAGCGTGCCCGGAGACTGTAAAGAACATGTCCAGGCAAGCCTGCTGGTGGAATAGTGGGTTAGAAGCTCTGAGGAGGAAGGTTCGCAGACTGTATAATGTAGCAAAGCGTACAAGAAATTGGAACAACTACTCAAAGATGCTCACTGTTTACAATAGGACAATTAGAAGAGCTAAGAAAGAGTCATGGAGAGAATTCTGTCAGAACATGGAGAGTGTTTCTGAATGTGCAAAGGTTCATAGGGTACTAGCTCGAGGTCAAGCTAATCCTTTAGGAACAATGCTTAAGGAGGATGGCACATACACAGACGGCCCAGAAGAAGTGCTGGAGAGCCTTTTGAGCGCTCACTTCCCAGGATCCTTGCAACCGCAGAGCACAGTCCAGGAGGAGATAGAAAGAGAGACTAGGGTGCGAACGGCAAGAGAAGATTGGGCCTGCGCTAGGGCTGTGATTACCTATAACGGTATCAAATGGGCTCTTAGGGCATTTCAACCATTTAAAGCTCCTGGTACCGATGGCATCTATCCTGGGTTTTTGCAGGAAGGTGGAGTTATACCAACAGCATGGAGGACCTCGAGGGTGGTATTCATACCGAAGCCCGGAAGGGACACATATGCTGTGCCCAAGGCTTTCAGACCAATCAGCCTTACATCGTTTCTCCTGAAGACAATGGAGAAATTAGTGGATAGACGAATAAAGGATAGGGTCCTGGTAAGCCATCCTTTGCATCCGAACCAACATGCCTATCAGAAGGGAAAGTCATGCGAAACAGCCTTGCATGCGCTGGTTAGTAAGATTGAAAGTGCTATATCGAACAAGGAAATAGCGGTGGCTGCATTTCTTGATATAGAATGAGCTTTTGACAACACTAGTACTCGCTCTATTGTATCAAAGCTGGTGTCAAGAAATGTGGAAAGCACTGTAGTGAGGTGGATAGGCAACGTGCTCGAAAGTAGGAGAGCGCAAGCTTCTCTGTGTGGGACGGTGAGAGAGGTCAAGGCCCAAAGAGGGTGTCCAAAGGGTGGCGTCTTGTCACCAAATCTGTGGAACCTGGTGGTTGACGATCTCCTGTCCGAGCTCAATGCACAGGGCATGTACGCTCAAGGATATGCTGACGATATTGTTGTACTAATAAGAGGAAAATTTATGAACACTTGCCTGGAACTCATGCAGAGGGCATTGTCCATAGTGGAGAGGTGGTGTAACCAGGAAGGTCTGAGGGTCAATCCAATGAAGACTGTAATGGTACCATTTACAAGGAAGAGAAATGTTGATATTGCTAGAGTACCAACTCTCTTCGGTAATCAGATCCAGGTTAAGAGGGAGTTCAAGTACCTAGGAATAAGGCTGGACGACAAGCTCACCTGGAACAGCACATATAACGCAACGCTCTCAGACCACACTTATGATGATGAGGCGGGCTGTTGGGAAGACCTGGGGTCTAAGTCCACAAATGACTAACTGGCTATACACTAGGGTTGCAAGACCGATGATGGTGTATGGCTCGGTGGTCTGGTGGACCAAGGTAATGCAAGCTACCGCTGTAAAGAGACTACAAAAGATCCAGCGAGTGGCATGCCTTAGCATCACAGGAGCCATGAGAGGCACTCCAACTGCAGCCCTGGAAGTAGTGCTAAACCTGCCACCTCTCGACATCATTGTGAAAGGAGAGGCAAGGATGGCAGCCTACAGAATGGCTTGCAGTGGCAACTGGAAGTATAATGCCTCCAGTGAGCACACAAGAATTGTAGACAAGGTGCAAATGAACTCCTTGGAAATGCTACCAGACAGGATGGTGAAGATCACAGATCTAGAAAAACCATACAATGTCAACATTGTTGACAGGGATGCCTGGGATAAGGGTGAACCTGAACACATGAAAAGGGGGATCACCCCCCATGGTATACGGATGGCTCGAAAAAGCCAACGGGCACGGGGGCTGGAATACATGGAGTCAGATCCAAGGCACAGTTCTGCGTAAGTTTGGGAAAAATGGCCACTGTATTCCAGGCAGAAGTGGTTGTCCTGTCTGAGTGTGCGAGAGTGTGTTTGAAGCGCGGTCTTATAGGCCACACTATATACATGAACTCAGACAGCAAAGCAGCACTAATGGCACTTGACAGTTTCGACTTTACCTCCAAGGCTGTATGGGACTGTCATCAAGCCATGAAAGCCCTGGGAAAGACCAACAGGATCATCCTTAGTTGGGTTCCAGGACACAAAGGTATTGCTGGAAATGAGGGAGCTGATAAGTGGGCAAACAAAGGAGCTGAAAGCCCGCTCATGGGTCCAGAGCCGACGTGTGGCATTGCTTACAGCACAGCACGGAGAGCTGTTCGCCAGTTAATGGGCATAGAACATCGAAGGAACTGGGAAAGAACAGAAGGAAATGTACAGTCAAAGAGAATGCTGAAGGCACCACACACACAGGTGCGATAGCGGCAGAAGCCCTTGGGCTGAATAGGAAGACCCTGCGGAAGGTGGTTGGCTTTATTAGCGGCCATTGGGTATTCCGTGGACATTTACACAAGATGGGAATTCAAGTTGAAAGCCTCTTATGTAGGAAATGTGGAGAGGAGGAGGAGACAGCATTCCACGTGATATTTATGTGCCCAGCCCTACAAGGTATGCGCATGAGATCCCTTGGCCTATCGACTGGAGATCAAAGGGAAGAACGGGTCACCATAGTCAAAAGGATCTCACGGTTCACAAAGGACCTGGGATTTGACAAAGAATGAGGACCTGTGAATGAGGGTGCACAATAAGCTGTTCTAGCTTCGATGCAATCCCATGGTTACTTAAAGCCTGGCCCTCTATTAAAAAAAAAGTCAACCGCACTAATAGTATCATCCCTTGAGTCTACTGTGCGTTCTTGGAGCTGTCGATCAGCCGGTGACCTGGCCAGTGAGTCATACTTCTAGCTCCACTATCTCTGAGCAATATTTCTTAATTGAAGAAAATATACATATCTGATCGTATTAGTAGATGTATTTTATCTACTGTTTTATTGTATCAATCTTCTATAAGGACTCAGATCACCTTGAGTAAAATATTGCATCCGCATATAGAAGATTGTAACAAATTTGACGCTTCAGGTATCTATAAAATAAGTTGTAAGACGGGATCAATCCCCGGCACATCCACTAAACATTTATTCTCTCGTAACTCTCTCGTGAAATGCCACTGGCGTTGAAAAAAAAAACTTTAATTAAACGTTTCAAAAACCATGTCTTCTCTGCTTGGAGAAACAGCAAACTGGAAAGATCAAATGTCGCACAACACTTGTTACAAAATGGCCACTTCGGGAAAATTGAAGAAGATGTATGTATTTTAAAGAATTGCAAAGAAGGACATGTGTGAAGAATGCTTGGGAAGAATTGTATATTTACAAGGGGAAATTTTAAAATAGAAATAAGATGAACAAGTAAATTTTGACTCCAGTTGTACCTATAGAAACTTACTGGCCGGTACTTCCGGTATCCAATAATATATAAGGGACGCTATTTTTGATTCTTGTCATTCGCCTATTGGGTCTGATGATGATTGGAGTGTCCAATCGACATCGATCACCTCTTACCAACTTTCATATGTATTTTTCCTACAGTCACCCGACAAAGTTGGCTTCCTTGTACTGTTTATAGTACAGAAAACTGCTAATTGCTGCATATTTATACTTTGTCGTACGGTTTATGTTTTGTCGTGCGGTTTATACTTTGGCGCACATAAGGATTTCAACGAAACAACAAAAAACAGCGTGGTTCTATTATGCACGTAATCCGTGTACGTTTGGCAACACTTAAAGATAATAATACTATGAGCAGCTGATTGATTAGCTAACTGCCTATCATTTAAAGCTTCTTCCGCCACTGCTTCATCTGGTTCTTCTTGTTCACGACGCCACTCTCTTACAATATTTGCATTATTGGTGCGATGGCCAATATTACGACGTGGCCTTTGAGGCATGCTCAAAACAAATATAGCAAAACTACTTGTTCCATTGATAAACTGTTACTTTCCAACTTTAGCTATGATGAAAGTAAACATTGAAAAATAACAACAGTGAGTAACAAATAATAAATACAAACTCTTAGATAACAATAACCTAGCCAGTAAATGCAATAAAATATTTAGTGTGTAACAGTAATAAATATGTCCTTTGATAACAATGACCTAACCAACAAATATCATATAAAATGAAACATGCAAATAGACAATAATCACTTTCAGGTAAATACAACAGCTACAAATTTCAGACTGTCCGATTTGCAGGGAATCACTGTAGTAGCCTCTGGACTTCTTTCTTGAAGGAGTTGGCCGAGACGCCGAAGAAGTTCAGTCGAGGAGCAAAAATGCTGCCAAGTCTTAGCAGTCTTGAAGTGCCATGGTGATAAGCGTAGTAGCAGGACTCGAACCTTCTCCGGAAGATGGTCCCGGAACGTGTTCCTCTAGGAATTGTGAAGTCAATGCCGGACAAGAGAGCAGGGCAGTCCATGAGACCATTCAACAGCTTGTAGAGAAAGAAGAGGTCAAGATTAGTTCTACTTAACTGGAGTGGTTTGAGATCAAAAAGCTCTTGACCTCTCTGATAGGCGTTTCGATGTAGTCAAAGCCAATCCTACATCCCAGCAGTCTGAGAAAACGGATTTGGATCTTGTTCAGCATATCTTGATGTCCGAGTTGATACGGTGACCATAGAATGGATCCGTACTCCATAATTGGTCGGACTAGAGTTTTGTACAGAATAACAAGTAGTCTTGGTGAGTTGAAATCCCTTGTAGATCTCATAATGAACCCAAAACAAGAGAGGATGCTCTGTTAACTATGTAATTCAAGTGCTTTTCCGGACTGAGGGTAGAAGTCATTACTATCCCCAGGTCCTTGGACTCATCAACTCTTCTCAGGTCAGAGCCATTAATCGAGTAGTCATGGAGAACTTTTAAACGTTTTTAAAACATTCCTACGATCTTAATAAACAAGAAAATAAATTTAAAGCATTTTTTAGGCGTGGAAACCACTTCAAATTACAAAAACATACGGAACTATTTTCTCAAGTCGCGGAGCACATTGCTTGCCGAGGAAAAAATAGCGGAGTGATACGGACCGGTGACTACTTTCTCTAGGGCACCTATTTGTGTTGTCAGCTGAACCTAAAAACGTGTTGTATAGTGTTTGAAAGACTAATTATTTATATGCTTTATAGTGACTGTAGGAAAAATATGATGTGTAACACAAGTGCAAAAGACCTTTGCTGCACTCGAGATCATTCGAGTAAAAATTGCTCTCGTGTGCAGCAAAGTGCCACTTTGCTCACTAGTTACACAAATAACTATAGCGTCTTGTCAATCAACATTATAAGTGTAAATATATTATTACTAGTGTTATTAGACGTACATCTTTTTTTCAGACAAAAAATTCATCTTCTAATCATTAGATGCATTAAAAAAACACTATTATCGAGTAGTGCGCACAACTTAATAATGCTATTACTAATACATAAACTGATTTTGAAAGTGACACAATTTGGTGTATTTTTAACCAGCTATGAGTATAGAATGGAGCGAGTTTTAATGTATGTAAAGGTAACGTCCCTGCATACCTTTGCACAATCACTGGGATCTTACCGTCTGTATCAGCCACCCTGATCATTTCTTTAACTTCATCGTTAGTGACTTCTATTTTAAAACGATCTAAGCAATGTTTCAGCTCATCGACTGTGATTTGTCCACTACCGTCCTTGTCCATAAAGATCAATGTCATTAAAAATTCGTCTTTATGATCTTCAGCCAATTCATGGGGCTGAAAAAAACCAAACGCATTTATTGCCAAATACTTTGTAACGTTTTGTTAAAAGATAAAATTATTTAATTTTTGTGTAGTCTTGAATCACTTAACATATAAATAAAAATATAAAAGGTGATTATAACATATTCGTGTACCTCCTGAAGGGTGACGATTTTTCTGTGACTATGTCGCCTTCTTCAGATTGTTTCAAGAGTATCAATCTTCTCTCATATTTTACATTTTTTATTCTGTTTTTTTTATTTAAATTCATTTAACGTTGACCAACCACGTAACCAACTGACGTCACCCAATTTAAATGGCGTGACCAAGGCCTTCTCAGCTAAAAAATCCTTAATCTAATAAACTTAAATTTAAATAACTTAACCTGGGATCTGTTAAAGTTATCTTTGACTTATTTTAAACTAGCTGTAACCCGCGGGCTTTGCCCCGTTTAACTTCTTAATTTTCAAGATTATCTCGTTCGCATGGCTCAATCACGTCCTGGTTGAAGTTTGTTCGCTACGCTCACTCACCTTTAGGTTGGAGCTCGTTCGCTGCGCTCACTTGCCTTCCGGTTAGCTCGTTCGCTACGCTAACTCGCCTCCAGGTTGAAGTTCGTTCGCTACGCTCACTCACCTTTTGGTTGCAAATTAGCTGTTGTCATAAATGTAAAAGAAATAATAGTGCTGCACGCTGTTGGTAATCCTTGTAACTTTAATGCTGATTGAACATCATAGAACAGAACTAACTTGTTTAATTGAAACAGCTGTTAAGATTCAATAATTCCATTTCTCATAAGGTTAACATGGGAAACTCCAGAGCCACTGGGGCGGAGCCCGAAAGGATTTTTGAAATAAGAATATGCCTATATGTTAATCGGGAATGTGAGCTATCATCATGCAAAATTTCAGCCCAATCCGACCAGTATTTTTCGCGTTCACTTGTCACAAACATACATCCATACATCCATACATCTATACATCCAAACTTTCTCATTTATAATATTAGTAGGATGTCTCGTTTTAATGATGCCAATTCCGGCGATTCGTCTGAGAGCCTTGTTGTACTAATCATACAAATTGTTCTGCCCGTGCTTGGCAACGGGGCAAAAATACATTCTCGGGAAAAAACGGGGGAAAAATGCGATCTCTAAAATTCAGTGTAAAACTAGCTATTTACGTTAACAAGTGTAGTAAGAGCGTTTTTACATCACTGCATAATTCACCTAAGTTATGTAAACACGCTCTTGCGTAACGTGTAACTTACAAGATTTTACCTGGCCCGAAAATATACAGGGGGTTACGCACAATATTCTTCATGCTCCCACAATATACAGGAAAGGGTGTAAGTTAATCTACAATATATAAACTGGTTTGTTTTTAAGTGAACTCTTTTTATTGATTACAATTAAATACAGGATATTTTTACTTGGAAACACAACATTTAAAACATAACATTAACTTTTCACTCATCTTCTAACAGTAATGTTATTTTACAAACAAAAGCTAGGTTAGGGAAATACTCTAAAGCATAACAATAACATTCAAGAGTGAAGTAAAGAAGTTGTTTACATCACGCAGGTAAATTATGCTCGCTTCCGCTCGTTGCACAACATTCACCTGCGTGATGTAAAGACGCTCTTACTACACTTGTAAGGTAAATAGCTATAAATACACTCACCATGTAGGTGTTTCATGCAGTTAAAACTACTGTCAACAAAATTCTAATTACGTAAAAAATGAAATTGAATGTAGAAATTGTTTTACTACTTTGGCAAAGAAATAACAACGGAAATCGTAAACACAGACAAAAGAAATGAAATAAGTATAAAAGTTGTATGGCTACTAGCCTAGTTGTACATTAGAGCCAGTGACGTCACTTTTCATGTTGTTCGTATCCTTATATACAGGGTGTCCCACGGAAGGTGTCTCAAATTGATTACGGAAAAACGGCTTAACTTGCAAGGATGAAATAAAATTATTTCCCGCTAAATAAACCCCAAGGAATAACGTGAACAATTTTTTAAAACTTTTTTCCGATACAGGGTGCGCCAAAAACTGAGAATCACTAGTACGAATCTTGGAATTTTCAAATGTAAACATATGTCATGTTATACACAATTTTAAAGATATTTAATAGACAAAAATTTTGGCAAAAACAGAAACTGATTATCTTTTTCCGTTTCAAAATGACACTGTCGTAGTAGCAGTTCATTTGGAAAAAAATCTATATTTTTAATACTCTGTGTTTCCTATACCGATGCACTAAGCTCTTCTCCAGTTGAATTTTCTTGCTCGTTATGAAATCAGCTTTACTGTAATTTGCTACAAGTAACGGGTTTTTTTTATAATAAAAATTCCTCAAAAAATATTATTGCAAATGCCCATTGTTCAAAATTTTCAAATAGCAACAACATTATGTCAAGTGGCACATCATTTTATTGTTTTTTTTTATATATTTTTAATAACTTTGTGATTCACACTTACTTCGTATCTCTTTTAGTTTTTGTGTAAATAACAAAAAAACCTAATTTTCCTATATCAAATGCATCGTTAAGCAGTTTTTCCGTAATCAATTTGAGACACCTTACGTGGAACCTCCTGTATCCTGTATCGTGAAGGCGATTTCTACGAAACACTACTCCTCCGTTAATAATGGACGGATTTTTACAAACGATGTTTCAAAATTAAGTATTTTTTGTGTAGACGCCCCCTTTCACCAATTCCTGTAATAAACGTCCTCGGGTTTTGCCCCACAAGCCATCTTCATAACACATGATACACAAAAGAGCAAAAGCGTTCTTTTTCAGAGTGAGTTCATTGCCAGTTTCGATAACTGGAGTGTACTATATCTTTGAGTTGACTCTTATTTATTTATTTCACGCCACCGGCAAAATCATTATACATAACAATACAACTAAAGATGGCTAGGTACTATTCACATACTCAAAAATGAACGAATACTGAGTGCTACATGTGGTGTCTGATGACTCTTTAAGTCATCAGACATTATGACTGTTATTAGTTTTCAAATAACTCCTGTAATACTTTGCAATTGCTCAAATTCGAGCATACGACTATTATATTATTCGTGTATACGACTATATTTCTAACTTGTCTGTACTTTTAGCATAAACTAACCAACACAAGAAGACTTTTCTTCTTATTGTAAAATCTGAAGCATATATAAAACATACCCTCTTCTGAAGGTGGTTTAAATTATGTGTGCTTCAAGTTGGTGATGTTGAACACTGGCCTCGACAACATTTTCTTTCTTTGATTTTAGAGTGGATTATAAGATTTTTGCTTTACTGTTTGCTTTTAAACCCAAAAAGGCTATTATTTATAATTAGATAAATCTTTTGCTAAATTAGCTATGAAATAACTGCAATGCAAAGAAACCAACTTGAAAATTGTCTTCAAATGATATATGAGAAAGACAAATCAATGAGTAGGTTTAATATATGCTATTAGTATCCTGTTTAAATTATCATAGGTAAACAATAATTCGGGAAAAAGCTTATGGCAGATTTAGGTGCTCTGTGTTGTAAAGTCAATAATATATTATATACTTCATTTAAATAATAAAAAAAATTAACTTAAATAATAAAAGTGCGCGCATGTAACGGTTTACAGGTGTGTGGAAAACAAGTTCAATATTAATGAATATAATTATGGTTTATTAGCTTAGCCTGTTATTTACCTTAACATCAAACTCGTTTGCCTGAATCGTGTTTATGTCCAATAGAACCTAAAACCCCAGTAGAAAGATTAAGAACTCATAATAACGGTATAAATACAAACACACAAATGCCTTGCTGTATTAACACACATAACAATTAATTACATTAACATTTTATAACTTATTTATTCATTACTTAGCACATACTTGAAAATATGCAAAAAATTAGTGTCTCCATTCTCTTACTATATACACTTGATTAATTAGAATATAATAGAATATTTGTTTATTTTCTCTTTCAGATCGGATACATATAATACACAGGTCACAATTTGTAAAAATAAATAAATAAATTTGAATAAATTCACATTAATAAAAAGATACAAAACTAATAAAGTTGATTACGACTATAACGGTTTTGAATAATTATGCTATTTCAGTCCGTTGCTCTCACCAGGCTGACATAGGCTATGACGAATTCAGAAAACAAAAATAAATAATCTTAAACATGAAAAGAACATCTGCTATGTACAATAAGCGTGACCTACAAATTTTAACGTAGAGAAAATAAATAGAGCCTCTATAATAGGCAAAGCCTGTAATTGAGGTTCCGTGAAACCGTAATTGAAAGGAATCGTATTTTGAGCAATTGAAAGGAATATATTGAATATATTCTCACGAAATATAACAGTTCATTGACTAACTTGCTGAAAATTTTATCCTATTAGTTAAAAATAAACGGAAAGTAACTTAGTGGAATTACTAGTTGTTTCTAGATATTTAAGATGTACAATTTTTAATAACAGTTTTATTTTAATTGGTACAAATTATAACTATGAAACGTTTGTAAAATGTGTCATACCTGTCACCACGTATGTATACAATTTTAAGTCAATTTAGTACATAAGCCTATCAGTGCTACCTATATTGTACTCGAGTAGCCTAATTCATTTTCACCACCTACATAAATTAAAAAAATGTATTTTATATGACAAAAGTGGTGTGAATGAATTTTCATTCTAAATTTGATTCAATTTTATGTGGTCGAGATAAAATATTAAGCTAAAAGAAACATACATTTCCCTTCCGAGGCTCCTTCCCGTTGCACAACACGGATATAGCAGCTCGTATGTGCATGAAACGTTTAACGATTAGTGTTTCTAAACTCCAAGGGCGTGAAAAATGAAAAAAAGCCTGGATCTAGGTCTTGCCGTGCCACCTAAACTAATAGCTAAACTAGGTAATAGGGTAATAGCTAAACTAATCACCTAAACAACCTAGCATTTATTAACAACATTGTTTTCTGTGATGATTGCTACTAAAAATTGGCTAATCTAAATAAAAGAATATAAAACAATAGTATAATACCGTACCTTAGTCTTATTTATTTATCTGATTCAGCAGCAAAAACTCGCTTATTCAGAATAAATACGTTGAATACTTATAGTATGAATACCAAATATTCGGAATATTGAATAAATTAATCGTATAGTACTTACAATAAAGAAAATCGTAGTTATAACTTCCATGATGAGTTTGCAATGATGTGAGTGAAACCCAGCTCAGCATTCTAGTACATATGGCGCAAACATATAATTAAATTAAGTTACGACCTTGATGGATTGATTAAGAACTCAAATGCCATACTTTCGATGGTTTGGAAAATTAAAAATGTAGTAGTTTTATCTTAATACGGCACGGTTTTGTAAAATAATGGTCTTTCCAAGTACTTCAATAATATATATGATATGTTACTTCAATATATTGTATATAATATAATTATTTTATACAGGGTGTTTTTTTAAAAACTTGCATCTTTATTTATGTAAAAACCGCAATAGATAGAAATATGCAGTTTGCGGGAATCATCTATTGACGTAGGGGGCCCAATTTTTTTTTAATTCAACGTTACATTCACATTCCCCCCCCCCTTTCCCCCCTGCCACCAACTTAATTTTTTTAAATAGCAAGGTGCCCCTTGTGACATATCAAATGAAAGAGCATGAAAAAAGAAAATGTTTGATGAACAAAAATTTTAAATCGGTTCATAAATTTGTGAGATATTCCCCCCCTCCCTTTCCCCTACCCATAACTTTTTTTTTTTAATAGCAAGGTACCCCTTGGGACATATCAAATGAAAAATAAATTTCACCAAACATTTTCTTTTTTCATGCTTTTTCATTTGATATGTTACAAGGGGTAACATGCTATTAAAAAAAATAAGTTCCGGGGAAGGGGGGGGGATATCTCACAAATTTATAAACCCATTTTCAATTTTTTTTCATCAAATCTTTTCTTTTTTCATGCTCTTGCATTTAAAATGTCACAAGGGGTACCTTGCTATTTTAAAAAAATGAGTTGGGGGCAGGGGGAAAAGGGGGGGGGAATGTGAATGTAACGTTGAATTAAAAAAATTGGGCCCCCTACGTCAATAGATGATTCCCGCAAACTGCATATTTCTATCTATTGCGGTTTTTACATAAATAAAGATGCAAGTTAAAAAAAAAAACACCCTGTATAAATATAAAACATATTATATTACTTCAATTTAAAAATATCTTTAATCACAAACAACAGTTGACAAATAATTTGGAAGAATGAAAACCAAATGCATGTTAATGAATTGTTAGATACCTCATTTTTTCATTTTTACCTTTACAATCTATAAGACATACTGGAATATACAGGATGTCCCACGGAAGGTGTCTCAAATTGAATACGGAAAACGGCTTAACATACAAGGATGAAATAAAATTATTTCCCACCAAATCGACCCAAAGGAATAACGTAAAAATATTTTTAACTTTTTCAGATACAGGGTGGGCCAAAAACACCCTTGTTGTTATTTCGTTACCAAAATGGCAACCCATAAGACCAATTTAATTTTTTTTTAGTTTTAAATTATTTGTTTTGCTCATTTTTTAGTCTATTTTAATTTATAAAGGGATTCTGCACATCTACAGGAAAATATCTTTAATTTGGAACCAATTGCGTGTTATTCGGTCCATTAGTATGGTCAGGCTAGCTGTCATAATTTTTGCAAGATCCTTGCACGTATCTTGAAATGAATAATAAAGACTAACTATGATAAATGCTTGACTAGATCAGCCTGGATGGGCTATAACGTGTATACGGAATGTATTATACAGAATACAAAAGAAAGTTACAGAATGTACCAACAAATAGACTGCTACATTTCCCCGCCAAATCATTCAGGTGTTACGGGGTTGCGCGGGAGAGGCTTGTCATCCTGTTTCTGCTAGAAGCGGCCCGGCCTCCAGCCGCGGAGGAAGACCGTCTTAGTTTAGTGTTAAGACCGTATTGGTTAGTGGTTTTGTGCCATGTTTATACATATACAAAATAGTGTTTGTTATAGTGTTTTAATAAGTGAATCACCTCGTGGAAATTACCAGTAAAATGTAAGCTCTTAATTTATGTTCTATACCCTTACTCTTAAGTGTCAGTTAAATTTAGGGATTACTCATATTTTTAGTATATTCGAATATTTAACGAAGTTACATAAGAAACAGAACAGCCAGTGTTACCATAAATATCGAATAGGTATTGTAAATATGTAACATAATTTCACAAAATTTTATTACAACATACTAAACTTGTAGATTGTATTGTATATAGGCCAGAAAATTAATAAAAGAAAAGGGAAACATATATTTATTTGCAGATGGTAATTATTATTGAAATCTTGGTTTACACATGCTTACACTCACAGAGTAGATTTAGCTATAGGGAACTAGCTAAAATTCAAATGAAATATTCATAACCTCATAATCAGTTTTGGTATTACCATCTAATCATCATCAATGTATAAAATATATAAACATACTCCTGTGACCATTTATACAAAAAATATTTAGGTACCCTCAGGTCCCTTTGAAAAAAATAATAAAAGACAAAAATTTGAAAATGGACGAACTTAGAAAAAACATCTCCACTTTGTCAAACTGTAAGTCATCTGAGTTGTTACTAGAGTGATCATTTTTGTTTGATTATTTTATACTGTTTCATACTAAAAAATGTATTTCCTATGGAAATAGCTTAGATATAATTGTTTGGAAATTCTTATAGATAATTTTACGTGCAGTTACTAAACACAATTACCAATTACTCACAAAGATGTCGAATTAAGCGGATAGAGTAATTCTATAAAACATCACTGGTCTACTCTCTATTGGAATGTGGAAAACACATATTCATATTCGAATTTGATCAAACTTTTTCTATTCTTCTTTCAAATTCCAAGAAGCAAGGCCTAAGTCCCGAACTGTTACTGCTAGGCCAGGCCTAGACAGACGCTGCATAATCACATTAGCCTAAAGCCATTTTTGATTGGTGAGGGTTGAACCCGGGACCTCCGGTACCTATGCCCCACGCTCTACAACTAGATTCAATCCAGTTATGTACATAGCTCCAAATCCAAACCTGGGATTAAAATTATCTCCAGCAATTTATCTGTGCAACTGCGTTTCCTACAATAATATTTGGTAAATGTATAACACATCTCACCTCGAACAGTTACATGATAAAATGAAGGCATTCAACATTACGTAACCGGTTCGGAAACGTCAAGCGCTTCAAGCAAGGATGATTGCGAACGTTCGCGGTCTTTGCATATCTTCTGATTATGCAAATGGAATGTCAAGCATGCTTTAGCCTCAATCAATTGACTCGAGGAATGTATTCGAGGTGTTAGAAGCTCAGATTATCTAGCTGCAACGGAATTCATCTGGGAAATGCTTTTACGGATTTATATATCACCTTGTTCTTGCGACTAAGTGTTTTTGTTCATATTCAAAGTGATCCTGTGAATTAATTGTCTATCACGTTTCTTGCAAACCTTTTCTCATATCAGCTCGTGTGCATCGCAGGGAAAATCTACACAAAACTTACTGTTAGAAAGATATTTTCGCGTAGATGAGCAGAATCCCTTTATAAACTAAAATAGGCTAAGAAATAATAAAAAAAATATTTTAAAACCAAAAAATTAACGTTCCAATGGGTTGCCATTTTGGTGATAAAATAACAACGAAATATAAACAGAAAATCGAAACAAATTGAAGAAATTCCAATCACATGTTTTATTTACAGCGTGGGGTGAAAACAATTAAGTCTGTACAATACATATTTTTGGTTGAGTCTTCGGCCACTGGACGAACTCTAGTACGTTGTAATCATTACCAGTATCTTTGCATCCTTCTGATTCTCAAGGGTTAGATGTTTGATAATGCAGAGTACAAGAAACTATGTCTTCGAAGCAAAAAATAAGTACTTCAAATGGTTGTATTTACAGTTTATAAAAACTGAGTTTTGACACGAATATGTCCTTTGATACAACCAGCTATGTTTGGTCCGATAAAACAGTGAATTAAAAGGTGTTATTCGTAAACAGAGAATATAGTTCAGTATTACACATCTCATGAAAACATAAATGCCCTGCGATATGACAAAAATTAAATGTAATACAGTTAAAAGAAAAAAGTCCAATACCTCGTATATACATAACGCATACACGTATACGAAATATATAGGGTAAATATTGTATTTTTGGCAAAGATAATTTAACGCTTATTTAGTATTTTATTCATAAAGTAAGCAATTACAATTGTCCAACAAAATGAGGTGTCCGAATTCAAGCAAGTGGGTTATATACATGTTTGGTCATTTTGTAATAGTAAAATAAATTCTCAAATCGTAAGTGAATACAGATAAAAAAGTTAAATCTTCAACTGTGCTTTAATTTTTTTTAAGCAGACGGTGTAAATTATCTTTGGTTTCATTGACGGACAACAATATTAACAATAAAAACAATAATTAACATGAACTATGTATACCATCTCGGGATTAAGAAAGTATTCTTAATCCCAAGATGGTACAAATAATATATTTTTTTTACAATATAGTAATATTGTACAAAATAAAGTATTTCACAGGATACATGATGACAGAATTTTACATAACCAAAGTAGGACACTAAGTTACCTATATCACGTGAAAGTCCTGCAAAGACTATACTGAACAAATACGCAAACTGGTAATCAGAAAAATCAACACATATCATTTCTATTCTACCTACAAAAATATAATTAATAGAATATCTTTCTTCAAGGATTTTAGCATTCCTGTACTTCACTAATTGGGTGGCTTTTGACAGAGAAATATTGCCAAAGCTCTCCTTGTTAAGATAGTTATCAGTTGTTCTTTATAATGGAAACATTCAGGGTGATTTTGATGATAATTAGCTGTTTTTGGAAGTTTATTTTGACACATGAATTTAAATTTAGCCTTTAAAATTACCATACTTATATTTACAATTACTAACTTAAAATGGTTTAATAAGTAACACTAGGTGAAACCCGTCGAAATCGACGGTTACTTTCAAGGCTTACGTTAATTCATCTAACTGCTATAATTTGGGTGAAATATACATATTATTTGAGTATTTAGCATTGTTTAAAGGGTTATAAGTATAAAAACAATAATGATTTTAATTCCGGTAGTTGCCAAAATTGGTTGATCATTCAATGATTAAAATATTTCCCATACCGGTACCGTACGTCATCGGACTC